CCCCTGGCTGGCAGCCTGCAGCACGAGGGGAGGGGCTGGGCACAGGTGCCAGCGTGTGCCCAGGGAGATGGGATGTGTCGCCTGCGCCGCGAGGCAGCGTCTTGGCTGGGCACTGAGCTGGTAGCAAATGGATCTGGCCCCCGGGGGCTGTGCTCAGCCTGGTCAATGCCAGTCAATGCGCCAGTGGCGCAGGCGGTGGAGAAGGGGCTATGCCCCCCATTCCCTCTCACCTGCGCGCCCAGAGCTTAGGGCAGAGGGGCTGGCAGTGAACCAGGCTGTTGGCACCTGCAGTGAGAGCCGGCAGCTCTGCCAGCCCTGAGCCGAGGCCTCCAGGAGCGTGTGAGAATCGGCCTTCCCCTTACGGGCATGCTGGAGCTAGGGGGCAGGCTGCTCACAGGCTGGGGTCCGCAGCCCCTCTCTGGCTGGGCCCTCTGCTGGGGGCACCCACGTGACCAGGGGTTACGGGCAGGGCGGTGAGTTATATGGGCCTGTGGTGCCCAGGCTCCAGGAATATTCAGGGCCCAGGGGCCCGGCTCCACCACTGTTCGGGGCTGAGTCTCTCCCCCAGCCCCACCTGCCGTCCCCGGGTGATTTAAAAGGGCCTGGGGACCCCTGGCTACCACCACCGGCAGCTTCCTCCCTGGCCTCGCTCCACGCTACTCCTGGAAGTGGCTGGAACGGCCCTACGGCCCCTGGAGGGGGGGGGGGGAGCAGGGGGTCTCCACACGCTGCTCCCGCCCCAAGCGCTGACTCCGCAACTCCCATTGGCTGGGAACTGCAGCCAATAGGAGCTATGGGGGTGGTGCCTGCGGCCCCCCTGCCTAGAAGCCGCTGCCAATGTGGGGTGCGGGTCGCTTTCGGGAGCTGCCCGAGGTAATCATCGCACCCCTCTCCTGCACCCCAAACCCCTGCCCCAGCCCTGAGCCCACACCTGCAAACCTCCTCCCACACACTAACTCCCTCCCAGAGCCCGACCCCCGCACCAACTCCTGCACCCTAACCCCCAGCCCAGAGCCTGCACCCTGCACCCCCTCCAGCACCCCATACCCCCCCCCCACCCCAACCCCCCCCCCAGCGCCTTAGGCAGGTGTGTGTGGGGGGCACCACCCAAAATTATACAAACCTGCCGCCCCTGGCAGCGGGTACTGTGCCCCCCTCGAGTCGCTGGCTGGGCCCAGCTCCGTCAGGGACACCCCAATGGCTGGGGCACCAGGCCCCCCCGACTCGCCGGCTGGGCCCGGGTGGTGGCCTCGGCTTGCTGCTGTTCTCCACAGGGAGCTGTGGCTCCTTGCCAGTCTCAGGGCGTCTGCATGTGGCTGGCAGCTCGGAGCTGGGCGCGCTGGGGAACACCCTGCCCGTGCCCAGCGGGTGCTGGCCCCAACACCGAGGGAGGGGCTCGCTGCAGGTTCAAAAGCGTTAATGGTGCCAGCGAGCGGGCAGGGGCCGGGCCGCCTGCAGGGAGCCAAAGCAGGGTGTGCCGGGCCCAACCCTTGGGCAGCAGTGCCCGTCCCCCGGCGCTGCGTGACTCCCAGGGACCATCTCACACCAAGCACCCAGCGGCTCTGGCCCGGAGCCAGGCAGCTAGGCACTGACTGGCGCCAACGGTCGCGTGTCAGGGTGGCCGACGCGCGGCTCCAAGCACGTCGTTGGGCAGGAGACGTGCTCCGTCTCGTACGTAGGGACAGGCCTGGGTGCCTCGCACGGGCAGAGCCGGGCACTCCCTGGCGCTTGGCATGGCCCCAAGCCCCGGGGCCTGCCTGCAACCTGTGCTTCCCCGCCCGCTGCAGCCGCAGCCTGAGGTCCCCGCCCCTCCCCATGGCTCCAGTGCCAGGCCCGGGCAGGGCAGGGCTGGGCAGGCCGGGGCGGCGCTCTGTAGGCACCAGGGCCCCATGCTCTCGCATGCTGCACCTCACTCACAGCAGGGAGCTGAGGCCTGGCAGCTCAGGGTGCAGGGGCACACGCCCTCCTCTCCCCGTGCGCAGGGCGGGGAGAGCCGCTGTACCTGGCCTCCCGCTCACCTTGGCTGAGCTGCGGGCCCGCCCCACCTGGCACCGGTGGCGGGAGGAGGAGCCTGAGGGAGGGAACCTTTGCAGGAACAAACAGCCCAGCCCTGAGCAGACCGAGCTGAGAGTCGGCTGGCTGCAGGCCGCTGCCAGGGGCTTCCGGACGGGCGTGGCCCTCGCCAGGGACGCTGAGCAGCGACAGCCGTGCAGGTACCATGCAGCCCTGGCTCTGTGGGCTGCCTTGGCGCCGTTCCCTGGCCGGGCGGCACCAGCCAGCGCCCCCCTGGCTCCCTCTCGCTGCGTGGGCAGAGCTGCGGGGGGCGGGATGGGCTGATCGTCTCCCCGGGGCAGGGGAGTGGGGTGTGACCCCTGTGCCCTGGCCCATGTCCCCGGGGCTGGCTGTGCTGCCCCCAGGCGGGCAGTCTCCATGGGTTAGCCAGTGCCAACAATAGTGTGCTCTGGGACACAGCTGCCCCACTGCCGCCCAGAGGTGGCAGCTTTGCAGTGGGGGGAAGTGGCGTTTGGCCTGGAGGCTGGGCAGTGCTGAGGGGGTGGGAAGCCTGGAGGTGCACAGAGCTCGCTGGAAGGGCGTGGGGCCCTGTCCTGCCCTGGCCAGCTCAGGTGTGGAGGGAGCTCTGGGAGCTCACAGGTGGGGGTGGAACAGGGCCATTGGGGCTCACGGGTGGGCCCGGGACACTGGGCTGCTGTTCCCTGGGGGGTGAACGTGCCCCTGGGGCGGCGCTGTCGGACCCGGGGCCCTGGCTGGAGTCTAAGCACGTGCCCTGGCGAACAGGCCACACGGTGCCCAGCCTGGGCCAGAGTCCATGGTGCGGGACCGGGGGCAAAGCCCGGGCTCCCCAGGCACAGGGGCTGGGCCTCTCTGCCCTGCCCAGCGCCCTGGGGCAGGAGGGACCAGCCACGTGGGGGCGACAGGAGGGTCCCTGAGCCGGGCTGGCCCCCCAGGCTTCGGGCCGCTGGGGCTGGGGGAGGCCGCTGCTGCTCCTGCGCGGGGGCAGAGCTGACGCTGGGTCAAGGGGTGGGTCTGGCTAGCTGGAGCCCTGCAGGCTGCCGGGCCAGGCCCCATCTCTGACCTCACGGAGCTCCTGGGGCCAGGGATGAAGCAGCTCCCTGAGGCTGCGGGGCAGGGGACAGAGGGAGCCCGAGGGGTGGTGGGGTCCCTGTGTGGTGCCCTCCAGAGCAGGGGGGTGGCCAGAGCACAGCCCCACCTGGGAGTCAAACTCAGGCTCCACCCTCCTGCAAAGCCCCGCCCCTTGCCCCCAGGGCAGGGCTCATCTGGGTCCTGGCCGGCCCCTGGCGCTGAGCCGCTCTGCAGAGATCTGGCGGCCAGCTGGCCACTTGCCTCCCAGTCCCATGGGCTCAGCGGCCCACCAAGCCAAGGGGCTGCGGATGTGCGGCTCCTGGAGTGCCAGCTTGGATGCCCCCGGGCATGGAGCCGGCCCCCAGAGCGGGCCGTGCCGGCCCAGTGACCTGGGAGTGGGACATTGGCTGTTTCCCATCCTGGTGGCAGCGGCTGTGGGACGCGCTGCTTTCGCCGGGGAGCCTGGTGCAAGACACAACACACACATTCCTGTCGGGCTGGGGCTAGCACCCTGGGAACGCGGGCACCAGGCCTGCTCCTTTCTCCCTAGCCCCCGGCCCTTGGCACGGCTTCCCACGCTTTGTGGCTGGAGGCCAGCGGGGGGACAAGGAGTGGGCCCTCTCCCCCCCAGCGTGGCCAGCGGGGAGCCCGGTCTCTGCCCAAGCGCGCCGTGTGCTCAGGAGGTGACGAGACCGGAGCAGCTCCCTCGGCTCGCGACCGGTTTGACCGTAACTAGCCCCTGGTGAGCTGGGAGTCTGGCCTGGGGCCCCGGGCAGCTCAGGGCCCAGAGGCCGGTCGTCCCCGCCCCGGCTGGCCTGTGTGCACTGCCGAGCAGAAAGAATCGGCTGTGACATTCCCGTAGCCTGGAGACCGTTCGCCCCTTTCACAGCCCCAGCCCCGATTTGAATAAGAATCGCTCTGTGCGCCTGGGAGAGGAGCCGGGTGAGTTTCACCCATCGCTTCCCTTGTTTGCCAGCTTGTTTTTGTGCTCCAAGTTCTCACGCTGCCCGCCCAGGGCTCGGGGACTCGCAGGAGCAGGAGGGGCTCTGGGGGGCTGCCCCCGCCCAGCCTGCAGCCAGCTCCCCCCTCCCCCAGCGCGGGCTGCCAGGGCCGCGGGCTGCACCGCTCGGACGTGAGTACCGGGGCGAGCGGGAGGAGGCTGCACGCGGAGCCTGCTGCCCTACGGTGCCCGGCCCGGGCAGCGACATTACTGCTCAGGCTGCCTGGATTTCTCCTCCAGCCCCGAGCCCGGTGCCCAGCGCGGGTGAGCTGGCAGGGGGGTGCCCGGGGGCAGTGAGGGAGCAGGCTGAGGGGAACGGGCTTCCCCAGCACCCCACAGCCAGTCGGGGCAGTGCCAGGAAGAGAACCCAGGTGTCCTGGATCCCTGTCTCCTGCTCCAACTATTAGTCGCTGTCCCGAGCTGTGCTGGCTGCTCTGCGTGCCCGGCCCCAGGTTGGCAGCTGGCGGGGGTGGCACTGCCCATGGGGCACTTTGCCCTCACTAGGGCTGGCGCTAGCCCGGGGCGCTCGCAGACAGCATTGCCCTGGGCCACATGCGCCTGTTCTGAGACGTGGGACCCCCCAGCCATGGGCAGCTCCTGCCTGCCCCCGATCCCCTCGCTCCCCAGCCTGGCAAGGTGAGGGACTGGGGGGGGACCACAGATGCTGTCCTGGGGGTGAATGAGCAGCGCCTGACCTCTGGGGCAGCCAGCCCCACGGGCGCCCTGGCTCTGCCAACCACGGCCCAGCCCCGGCGTCGGGCGTTAGCAGGACCAGGGAGCCCTGGCACTTCCCACCCGCAGGGCTGACAGGAAGGAGGCCTGGGCCAGTATCCCACCCACCTTCCCATCACCCCCAGTCTCCTTCCCCTCCACCCTTTGCACCCTGGGCCCACGGCTCCCTGCAAATCTGACCTCCCCTCGCCCAGCCCGGCCCGGCGTAACCCTCTCGCCTCGCTCTCCCCAGGCCGGACCCCCCGTGCCCATGGAGCTGCTGTTTGCTCTCCTGCTGCTGGGTAAGTCCCCGCGCACGTGCGGCCCTGGGCACCTTCTCCCCTCCCCTCCCAGGGCAGGCGGCTGCACCGTACGCAGACCCCGGGTGTGTGCACCCATGTGCCTGGTGGGGACCGGATAGAGGCGGGGGCCCTGAGGGCCAGGGGCCGGATGGACGCGGGGGCCCTGAGGACGGGGGGCCCGGTGGGGGCCGGATGGAGGCGAGGGCCCTGAGGCGGGGGCCCGGTGGTGGCCAAATGGAGGTGGGGGCCCGGTGGTGGCCGGACGGAGGCGGGGGGCCCTGAGGGCGGGGGGCCCGGTGGGGGCCGGATGGAGGCGGGGGCCGTGGGGCGGGGGGGGGGGGGGGGCCGGATGGAGGCGGGGGCCCTGAGGCGGGGGCCCGGTGGGGGCCGGATGACATGGCGTGGCGGGAGCGCCCGTGTGCTCTGGGCTGTGCAGCGAGTGTGGGGAACGTCCTGGTGGGCAGAGCTCGGTCCAGCTGCGCCCGCTCCCTCTCCACGCGGCAAAGGGCCCCTGGAGCTGAGCCGTAAATCCCCAGACGTCCTGGCTCCGCTGAGCCCTGGGAGCGGAATTAGGGCAGCGCCTGACCATGCTCCCACCTCCTGGGACGGGCACGGCCAGGGCAGCCCTGAGCCCCCCCAGCCCAGTGCCTGGCGCTGGCCGCGGGGCTGAGACAGAGCAGGGGGCTATGCAGGGGGGCGGGGCAGACACCCTGCCCCCCCGCTGACTCCTCCCCCCCCTGCTCTGCCCCGGGGGTGGGGACTGCCCATGTCATGCCCATGTGGGGCCCTGCTCCGGAGTGTGTCTCTGGCCCCCCCCCGGGCACGACCCCGCCTGGGCACGGCCTCACCAGGTAATCATTGGCAGGGGCTGGGCAGAGTCGGGGGGGGCCAGGGTTGGGGAGGACTCAGACGGGGGACGAGGGGGGGCAGAGTCATGGCAGGCCAGACAAAGGCCTTTGCTCCCCCAGTCACAGGGCTGCTGCGCGGGGGCTTTCGGGGTCGTGGCGTTTCCCTGCCGGGTCAGTGGGTTTGGGACCCAGTGCTGGGCGCGGGGGGGAGGGGTGCGGGGGGTGCACGGGGTGCAGGGGGTGCACAGGGGGAGGGTGTGGGGGGGGGGGGGGCGGGGGGTGCACAGGGGGAGGGGTGTGCAGGGGGATGAAAGCGTGAGCCTGGGGCCCCCTGCGGGGGAAGGGGTATATGTGGGGGTCGGGGCACACCCCCTCTCAGCCGGGCCGCGCCCTGTGCCTCTCTCCAGTCCAGGTGCCCGGTGCGGGGAGCCAGGACGTGCCCGGCTGCTCCGTGGGGAGCTGCCACCCGGCCACCGGGAACCTGCTGATCGGGCGGGCCCAGAACCTGAGCGCCACATCCACCTGTGGGCTGCGGGGGCCCCAGGAGTACTGCATCGTCAGCCACCTGCAGGTACCCCACTCCGAGGGGTGCTCAGGGCAGCGCCCAGCCCTCCGGGTACTGTGCGGCCCGGCTCCTGGCCAACGCTCGTCTCTGCGTGCGGTGTGACCGGCTGCCCCCTCCCCGTCGCTCTGCGTGGGCGCCCGGGGGGGCCAGGCCCTCTGCCCACAGCCCCCACTGGCTTGAGCCAGACCCTTCCCATCCAGGGCAACCAGGGGAGCTCGGCCCCAGAGCCCTGCGCTCTCACCGGCACCCGCCAGCCGATCCTCGGGCCTCCGGTGAGCCTGGCCAAGGGAGACGGGCGATGCAGCCCCCTGCGCCCAGCCCCAAACGCTCAGCCCCAGACAGGCTGGCAGAGCCTGCGGGCGAGCCAGGGTCAGCGCGTGAGTCCGTCTGTCCCCTGTATCCGTGTAGGTGTGTCTGTCTATCCGGCCCCCTGGATCTGTGGGTGTGTCTGGCCGTCTGTCCACTTGGATCCGTGTGGGTGTGCGAGTTTGTCTGGATCTGTGTGTGTGTGTGTGTGTGTCCGTCTGTCCAGCTCTGCGTGTGCGTGTGAGCCTGTCTGACCACCTGGATCCGTGTATGTGAGTCCGTCTGTCTGCCTGAACTGGTGGTTGTGTCCGTCCGTCTGTCCCCTGGATCCGTGGGTGTGCGAGTCCGTCTGCATGTGGGTGCCGTGCTTGGGTCTGGATCGTGTCCCCGGGGGTGAGTCTGTCTGTCGGTCCAAGGGCAGGCGGTGAGCAGAGGCAGCCCCAGTGCCCGTCTGCCCATCTGCCCCTGCTGCGGGGCTGCGCCGTGGGGCAAGACAGCACTGGGACACTCTGTGTGCTGCAGGACTCGGAGAAATGCTTCTCCTGCGACTCCCGGTCCCCGTCTCTGCGCAACAGCCACCGCATCCAGAACGTGGTGTACCTCGGCGGCCGGGACGGCCACACCACCTGGTGGCAGTCGGAGAATGGTGAGGGGGCCCCCAAGGCCATGGAGAGAGACTCCCCGCGGTCGGACGGAGCCCAGACTAGCGGGGAGGGGAAGGGATCATGGCTCCTCGCTTGGCCTGCGCTGCCCCAGACTGCAGGAGTCACAGGGGACCCGCAGGAGAGCCTGGGCCGGGAGACTGCTCCTCGGGAGACCCCAATGCCAGGACCTCCAAGCTGGGGGAGAGGCCCCTGCAGCGACCTCTTGGGACGTGGGGGCGGCAAAGGGGCTGGTGCAGACAGGTGGTGGAGCATTGGGGGTGATGCCGTCCTGTCTCCCTGGGGGGGCTGGTGCATTGGGGTGACCCCGTCCC